TTTATGGCCGTATGTGTAAAGCATTCTTTAAAAAAATAAATAAATAAAGTTAGCGGGGTTACATAAAAAACGTGATCCTAATAACCAAAATCCGTGACAATAAAAAGAAAATGTTAAATGAAAATCGCACGCTACGTGATTCAGAAACAGATGAGTCACGTTTCCTGAATAATAGACACGGTAGAATGACGTCGCTTCCAGGAACCAATAATACCATTAATCAATTATGACGTATCAGACGTAAGAATATTCAAATTAGTAATCGGTTTCCGCTAGAAATAAGAAATATGTAGTTACTATGACGCAATTTGTTTTTACGTAATAATTAAAATATTCGAATTGTGACACGTACTGTACTGTACAATATAAAACGTCAGGTACTGTACGAGTACTCAATGTATAATTCATACTGAAAACAGAAATTTATGAGCTTTGTTTAGACTATAATTTGACAGCAGCTTGTTATACAAAACAGCAGAAAATTGACAGTATCCTGTGTTTTATTTTACGACTATTTTCATTTCGAAAATAAAGATTTCAATAGAAGGATCGCTTTAATATAAACAGCCATATTTAATGTTTATTTATACATTAAACAGTAACCTCAAAAAATCGAGTTTAAATAGTAAGATATAGGCCTAATGTGGTTTATGTCACTGATTTACAAGATTATAATTGGTAAGATAAATAAATAAATTTTAACTCTTATAGAGTCTCTATTGAATTTATTTTAAATATTTCGTGATTAAAAAGAAGAAAACCGTATAAAAATTAGTGAAAACCTCTTACCTAATTACGCTGATTCTGTGAGAATGTGATTTGATATAAAGGAAAAATGAAAATGCTCTATCAAAAGGAAGTATGAAGTCAGAAAGCTTCTTAATGTAAAAATTCTTAGTAATTTCTAAATTTTTCTGAAGCTTATTGTTGACGACATAATGACAATTCCGGAATGGATAGGGCCTACATTATTTTTCTATGCAATTAATATCCCATTTAAATCAGTACTGTACTATACAAGTAAAACGACTAGTCCAATTTAATTTTACAGCCGTTAAAAGATGTATATTTTAAATTAAGAAGTTTTCCACGTTTGGTTAATAAAAGGGATGAATTAGAAGTTGCGGATCTTTCCGAAATAAGTTTTAGCAGGCTGTTACTATACCTTGTCAAAAGTGATTGAACTCATGAATGAAGCTTACAACGTCTTTTATTGACTTCTTATTAAATAAAGGATGTGCTTAGTATAATAAACTAATTATATCTGCTAGAACTTACCACTTTCCAGCTGCTTCCTAATTAATGGGTTTAGAATAAAATTAATGTTATCGCCCGATTCCCTTTAAGAAGGGTGAAATTTTATGAGGTTCTGACTTAAGATTTGTAGTGTATTAATGCAGTATACTCTATTAAGTTTATTATTCCAGAAAATTCCGTTTTTATTATAATTATAATTGCAATTTTTTAATGTCTCTTTTCTCAATAAATAAACGAAAATTTAAGTTACAAAAGTTAACTCTCATTCATTGCTGGACGTTGATCTTATGTATTTCATAATGTCTTTCATTGAAAAGAAGTCTGGACTGTATTATTTTCCTTTTTTAAGAATATTAAAGCTCATATAATGAGTTTGAAACGTCTTTATATCTTAGGTCGATGTATTCTATAGCTGGCCTTCAACTACAATTAATATAATGTGACCGTAGATTGTGCAAAGGATACTTCCTTATTTAAAAACAATAGGATAATTTATTAAAATACAATTTAAAAACAGATTGTATACAATTTATTTAAATTTCCTAATCGAACATTTAGCCTTAAACGTTATTTTAATTACCTCATTCACTTTCCAAAATGGTATCGTAATTTAGTTGAAAAATTTAATTTTGCAGACAGTTCGAAACTCATCAAAGAATTGGATAAATTAAATTTCACGCTTTCGTTAATTAATTATATCAATAATTTAAATGATAATATAATTGGGTCGAATATGTTAAGTTTAATTAAAGTCAAACGTAGGCCAATATTGTCAAGATTTGTAGGTTAATTAACAATTTTTATATAATATAAATAAAATAATTTTGATAATATCTAAATCTCGAATTTATGTTGTCAAACTGAAGTTTGTGTTAACTTTTAAGTTCGAATTAAATTTTATTAAATTAGGAAAAATAACTTCAGTAAGCTAGTCCCAATTGAACTCTTGAGAATTGAAACTCGAAAACATTACTTAAAATAAACTAAATTTAATTAATAAAGTTTTCGATAATTTTATTTAACTTCGAAATTATTTTTCACAATAAATATAAAATTGTAATAAACTAAATGTAAATGGAGAAGGCACGTTTAAAACTGTCTAGGCAGTCGGTCACATAACACTAATATCCTTTCACACTTACTCGATTTATATTTATTATTTTAAATACAATTATTAAAAATGTGTCACCGCACTTACATTTATAAATATTTTAATAATTGAAAATGTTGCGTAAATAAACACTTACATTTATTTTATTGATGACTCTAATCCATAAACCAGTTATCCAAATGGATGCTGTTTTAACAAAAAGTTAATTGCCTAAATTTATAGGGAAATTTTAATAATTTAGTTAAATATAACTTGTTTATTTAGCCAACATAATAAGAAGTGACTACATCCCCCATTATACGGACAATAAATACTTCATTGGCTCTTATCAACTGGTGATAATTTAAAAATGGAAACACTTCAAAGTTCTCAATACCTCAATACAGTTTATACGAATTTATAGAGGAAAAACAAGGGAACAAAGAATAAAAAAAAATGACACTTACCCAAAATTTTAGAGAAAATATTTAAAAAAAAAAAAAATTAAAATGATAACGATTCCGTACGGTGCTCAATGTTGTGTATCCTATAACACGAGAAAGTCATTCGAGGGTGGTACTTCGTAACACGATCTTGTTTGCGCTACGTAAATGTCGTTAAAGAATTACAACAGTTACCGATAATTCTCTACCAAATGGCAATTGTGATATGCGCACCGACTGATCCAGTACTGTGCTGTGCTGTATGATCAGGTATGTGTTTTATCGCGGGGTTAAAGTTCAATCAGTTAACTGTTGTTTAAAAGATGAAAGACCCGCCTAACTGCCTCGAATGAAATGATTTAGACATATTACAATGTAATTATACTACCTCTTGCTGTTATTACTAGGATTAATAACGGAGATTTTTTTAATATATTCTCTCTACACTCTCCTTATTACATTTATCGTGTATTTGAATGTAATTACATTTTGTTTCCAGATTACATTTAAGTTACTGTAACTAAATTAATTCTTGCTCATTTATATTAAAATTATTATTATTATTATTATTTAAATACTTGTGTAACGAGAGGGAACTAGTTAATGGGTTTTTATAAATTTAATTAAATTTATACAGTTGAACCTCCGAACAATGGCATTTTTTATCTTCCAGTCAGTATCCGTTGTTTGACTGTATTTATAAAACCATAATAAAGACATAAATAAAATTATTATTTTTTTATTATTTATTGTTATTTTTTTTATTTTTTAAACTTAAATTCACAATAAAATGTTCAAGCACAAAGTAGCTTTCATCTCAAATATAAAAAAAAATAGCTCGAGCTGATAAAATGTAATAAGGGATTTTTAAATGGGGAAAACGTAAATTATTTTCTTAAGTAAAAAATAATCAGGCAATACATTCATGTTTACCTCACTCTTCGGGGAGTATGAGAATAATTACTTTTCACGTGATTTATAACCCTAATAATACAAACTATAAAGTAAATGATAGAAGAGTCTTTAGCTGATTTCCTGTTGAGAAAGGTGACTAACAATGTTTAAAAGTTATACGCGTTTCGTGGCATGCAATATTGAAGAAAAGAATTGCCTCACTTAATTCTGAACTGCCTCTACAGGTTGTTGAGGTGGCCGCACCCCAACCACAAAATAGTTTTCTGACAGTATAACCGTCGCCACTGGGATAATGATATGAGAATAAATGATCTCTATGAATCGACAAAGAAAAATCTTTGCTTGTCGTTATTACCTATATCTTATCATAGCATCACAGCACCATTAATTTTTAAAATTTTAGTGATAAATGTTATTTAAAAAATAGAAAATGAAAACTAATATGCATCTTTTATTTTAACTGTAATTCAATGCTAATTTAATTAAGTTTATAAATAATTAATAATTAAACTGATGATTATATACNCCAAAAGGGTATAAAAATATTTTGTTTTTCAGATACTCTTCAAGATTAATACCAAATAATCTGCTGTATTGTATTAGGCTATATTATGGTTACATTTAATAATTACATATAGAGTAATTTTGCCTAGAGGTAGGCAATTAAGTTGCCACCTCATAATAAATTTATATTTAATATTTAATTTAGAAAGTTCTGGAAGAAAAGAATTGGCTCAAAGTGGGATTCAAACCTACAACTCCTGCCTACCATACAGATGTATTGTCAGTTACACTACCCACACCTCGATTCAATCTTCGTCTCCAGAACTATTAATAATTTAGATTTTACCATACTGGTTACTCACATTGTCAACTAAGGACACCATCAGCATCCACATAAATTTATAATCAAGTCCTGCTCTGGGCCAATTCTTTTTCCAGAACTTTCTAAATGAAATATTAATTAATTTATTATGGTGAATTAATTGCTTACCTCTATGCAAAACTACTTTAAATCTAATTATTAAATGTAATCATAATACAACCCAATACAATCCAACAGCTCATTTGGTATTAATCAAAACTAACAAGTAAGAGTTATTTGATGTTTATATTTGTATATCCTTCAAGAATGCCACTGTCAAAAGAAATGGCTTTGTACATACAAGTTCGTCCAAGTTTCAAAGAAATGGCCAACATATAGAGAATATTTTATACACAAAGATACATTTTGCTCAAATTGTTCATTTTTCCTATGTATGGCAACTTCTGGAAAACCCTGTAGTACGACAAAAGTTAAAATATAAAGTATAAAATGCAATTAGTTTTCCTTACTTACAACCCTGCCTAGAACTGATATATTAAGAAAGTTAATTTCAAGTCCATAAAACTTATTATACTCACTAGTATAATAAGTTTATTTTGTTTTATTTTAACCTAGATTTATGCCATTAATGGCAACTTATTTTTGTTACTTCTTTCAACCTCTTGAAGTCCACGGTGTTGTAGAAGAGAAACAAATTGGGCATATTTTTTAATCATACATTAGCACAGAAATATTTGATTTATTGTACAAACTGTTAGGCCATAAAGAAATTTCAAAAGAAAGTTGTAACATACTTGCCAACACATTTTAAAACAAAGATTTGTGTCTTGGCAGCCATATATAAATCTTTTAATGCAAGGGCAAATGGATAGAGCTCAAAGGAATAACTAGAGATTGCATACAGAATTGTGAGAAAGAAGACTGTGAATGTTGTAGATAGTCTAATTAGAGACATAATTTATCTTGCATATTCCATAAAGTATAAAATTTTGCACTTTAGTATGTTAATCCTTCACTGAATAAGGTTTTAATTGCAGTCCATATAGGTTTATTAGTCCATAGAGTGCACTGTCCAAATAATCAAAGAAGCTAAAGAAGCTACTTCAGAAGTGTTTCAAATAAGTAACAAATATACAGGGTGTTTCAAAACTATATGTCAGAAATGTAAAGGCAGGTAGAGGGGGCCTAAATAAGCAGATTTTGTATAGGAATGTGGGTACGGAAATGCAGCAAGAGGACGCTGTTGAGTTCGGTGGATGAAACTGCTTTGTTGGCTTGAATCATCATTCCCTGCATGGATTTTGAGCAATATGCATCGTTACACCAATGCTTGAGTGTCTTCATTGGAAGTTGTGCGTGGAAATTGCTCCATGTACTGTACATCCTTTGAGCAGCAACTCCATTTCCTTGTGCAGCCCATACATGAAATACATGTCGGCAAGCTCCGCATTGGTGTAATGATGCATATTGCTCAAAATCTGTGTGGGGAATGACGATTCAAGCCAGCAAAGTGCTTTTATCTGCCAAAGTCAACACCACCCTCTTGTAAGTTTGCCGACCTGGTGGAGATTGGAGACTTAAAATCCCACTCCTCGAACACCAGTGTAAGTTTTCCGATTTCCAGGGGAAATCGTTAATCCCGCGTCAGGATGATCTAGGGTCGTTTGCATGTTGGTGTGGCAGAGGAGACACAGATGACAAGAATTTCACAAAAACCCATTTATTTTAAACATAAAAGTAAACTTACACTAAGGAACAAAAATTGTTCTTTATACAATTGGAGGTTCGAATTGTCAAAGATGTTTCTACTGTTGCTCGAACGAAGGCCCCGGGGCAATGGCAGGTGTGGAGATTTGGCAGTCGGTGTCGGCGGCGTTCTGAGTCCATAGTCATAGTTACCAGTTGGGCACAACAGACGGAAAACTGCTTTTTTGCATTGACTAACTGTGTGCAGGTGCACAATTTTCGGAAAGTCCGTCTGTCCTTGAAGATCGGGGATTATATCAATCTCCGTTCTTGGTTTTGTTTTCTTCTGATTGGCTCCACATCCCTTTTTTCTCGCTCCCCAATTGGTCTCTCGTCTGTCTCTAAGCAAAAGACAATTCCTGTTTGAGTCACCAGAAAGATCCGCTTCGAAGAATCTACTCGACACCATCCGTTACTCTGGATGCAAAATGCTGATGGAACTTTGAAACTTGCGCTCATATTTTCCATCATTGTTGTCTAGTCTGTGACGTTTTTGAAATTTAACGACACAACGCGATGTCCCTTTTCATCATTAACCTTTCCTCTTTTCAAAATTTCTATGTTCTAATTACTTGTATATGAGCAACTTGCAAAGGTCCATCTCTACTGGAGGTCATTCGTTTACAATTATTAATCATTTATAATTATTGTGTTCTGTTTACATCAATAGCGTTTTTTTCTCGTTGCAGTTTCATATGACTAGAACAACTAATTCGATCTTTGATTGGGTTTTAACAATAGACAATTTTTTTTTCTAGTTTCGTTTTAATAAATTTCTAATAATAAATGTTTAATTTCAACTCATTTTTTGGACCTCACACTCTTGCTGCATTTCTGCATCCACATTCCTATACAAAATCTGCTTATTTAGGTCTCCTCTACCTGCCTTTACATTTCTGACATATAGTTTTGAAACACCTTGTATAGTCAAACCTTTCCAAAGAAGGCCAGTATCATATGCAGCTGTGCATCTAATCAAAAGAGGGTGATCACAAATAATTTTTTAAATCATGCAAATAAAAAAGTTATAGCATCAATCCTATTACTTTTGTATCAGACTTCATAATATCATCAAGTTGTATTTAATATAAATAATAGATAAATTTAATTAAAAATTTTAAATTTTTAACATGAAAGAACATCTCTTACTAGGTCTAAGTGAAAGTTTTATATGTTGTGGCTTTAGTTGAGTAACTGATCCTACAACTGCTCCAGCATCACTTAATTCAATGTTCTAAATTTAAAAAAAATGTATCATCATTTAAGTTAAATCTTAAGTCTAAATTAACATATTAACTTATTTAAAGTTAAATATTACCAATAAAGTATAGAAATTAATAATTTAATTTATTTTACAAGCTACAAGTAATGTCTAGAGATGACTTCCTCCATACAAAAATACAGAAAAAAAAATCTAGCAACAAGTTGCATAACTTTCCTGGCATTTAAAACTGTGTATGGTGCCATCTATTATGATATTTTATTAAAAAACTTTTTATATAATTAATTACTATAAAATGGCAAAAAGCTTAATTTTGAAAATAGAGATGAATTTTATAAATACATTCTAAATGCTAATAGCTTAATTTAATTTGATCCTACTCAAAATATGACACAATTCCCCTCTATCTCCCCACCCCTTGACTTTTAACCATCAAAACTTAACAGCATCAATCCCCTAATAGACAAACCTCCCTGCAAAATTTCAGAAATTTTCAACAAAAGACATGGGATTTATTAAACTTCAAAGTGTGCAAAAAAATCATGCCCAACACAAACACAAACATCCATACATGCAGAAACCCCCACTTTATTGCATTTCTTGATGTCTCAAGGTGCTAAGTCCAAAAATGGGGGTCAATTTTTGACCAATTTTGCAACGGAGGTGATCATTTTTTGACTAATTGCCATACTTTCCCTCTGTCATATGTAACAGCCAGGAAAATAAAAATAAAGTTAAAAACAGCAAACAAAACTAAAAATTCCTGGTAAAACAATATGTAAATGTGTGTACAGGCCACCTGCATTACAATTGTTTTTTTCAATTGTTTTGTAACTTGTAGATATAATCTATGAAATTTCACCATTTCAAGAACTTTATAAGAAAATTAAATGTTTAAATTAGTACAGTAAACCTTGTTAAAAGTTTGGGGTTAACAAGTTTAACACTCAATTTTCCAAAATTTTCCTGTCATAAATTTCCTGTTATTAAGCATTTTCTCAAGAATCTATTCACAGAATGATTACAAAATTGCACACAGTTTATGGCAGTTTTGAGTGCATTGTCAAGGCAACCTCTTGTGTCCCAATCAGAATGTTCGTAATATATTGTTTCAGTAAAAGGACAGCTATGAGAGGTTGTAATGGCATAGTGTTGTTTGACATAGAGTTGTAGTGTTTATTTTAATTGTCTGTATTCACATGAAATATATGAGAAAATGAAAATCATGGTCTCATTAAAGGGCAGTGGTACACAGGAAAACAGGTTCAAGTTAAAAATACCAGCAATTTTGATTTAATAAGAATATATTATGCTGCATTATACAAAAAACATATATACCATGCTCCAGGACCTGCAGACAGCTTCAAGTTAACATTCCTTTGAGTTAATGCAGTTTGACTCAGCAAGGTTTTACTGTATTTCAAAAAAATGTTTACTTTAAGAAAAATCTAACCTCAATTATTTTCTTACTACTTGAAGGATTTACTATCTCATTTTCTAAGCAATCTTTCTTGAGAAGATTCTGTGGAGTATCACAACGAGATTGGTCTTTCCTGTAATCCTATATTCAAGAATAATATTTACCAAATTATTTTAAATTTATACTCTATGCAAATTTTATATTTAAAACAATAATAAAATTTACTAGGATTCANAATTTAATTTAATTAATTATGAAAGCTCGTTTTAAAGTAATTTATAGTAATGTTAAATGAAAATTAATTAATAATGCTTACTTCCATTTTAATAAGAATTTAAAAATGTTATTGTTTCGGATCAAAAAACGAGGTTCGAAGAATGCTCTGTCCCACTAGCTTCGGGCTTTCCCACTAGATGGCAGGTGTCATTCACCTTGACCCTCAGAGAGTGCGGTGACCCCACTCTGGATCAAGTGTGTGATGGTACTCTATTTATAAGGCTGGTCATTCTTCTTGCTCTGTCGTTTCCTTTCTTTTACAGAGTAACGTTTGACATATGTCGTTTAACAGACAAAGATACCCCCCTGTAAGTGTATGATGTATCTTTGTGTGTCTGTGTGTGTGACGTATCCTTGTCGCGCGAGTTTGTGCTTTGTTCTAATTGTGCTATTTATGGTTGTAGTGAAATTGCTGTTATTTAAATCAAAAATTCACATTCATTTTTTTGTCATGAAATTTATTGTATTAAATAAATATTTCGTTTTCATTATATAGCTCTGAATGCCGAACTGAAATCACAGTCAATGATACAATTGAGAACAACGAGAAAGTTTTCATAATGGATTTTCGATTCTTCTTATCTGCAAAATTAAAATTACAAGTTGTTATTTAAATATGTTCAACGAGTGAATTATCTTAGCGTAAATAAAGTTAAATCTTAATTAATTACAGTGTTAAATGAAACGTAATTAATTAGCATTTATGAGATGATGCTAACCGATCCACAAAATGAATACGTTGCTTTGAACGTATTATTTTTTATTAGATTAAATGTTTATTATGCCCTACTTCAAAGCATCCTCTTACCATTACAACTGATTCAGAAAACTGCTGAGTCTGTCCACAACGCTCTCAACTTCGTCTTCTCACCGAACATAAACTAATCAAATTCGGTATTTTCTCAGAATAAACCATTCAAAATAATGATACATCTTCGATATAGATTATACACTATTTGTATATACATGTATTAATTATATAATACAGTATAATCTTTCTTTCATAAGAATTTTTTTCACCAGATGGCGCAGATCTTTAAATTACAAATAATTTCAAATAAATTTTAAATATTATTTCATCTATACAGACAGGGGCGGGTCTAGGTTTTTCGGGGCCTGGGGCTTATTGAAGTTCAATAGGGTCTCATTTTTTGTTACATTAAGAATCTTTAAATTGGGGTTTAAAATTCATTTTTAATAATACAGTAGAACCTCGAAAACTCGTCCCTCGATAACTTAGCACTCCGGATAACTGGTCCACACCTTGGCAGGGCGAAAAAATCCTTAGTTAATTAATTTTCATTATAGACAGCTTTATAAAAGTATAAAAGCTCTCAAAGTATTTTTCTGAGGTCTGTCTTATCAGGTAAATTACTGTACACAGTGTATTCATTAATTTTCATTTTCATGTAGTAAAGGCTGTATGCCTTCATAAAGGACGTACTTTTCCTCTGTTTAAGGGTATTTGGGCAGTTTATTCTCTGTTGTATTCTCAAACAAACAATACATACAAGTACAGTACAATATTTTCTGAGGAAACACGCATACTTATCCTTTCGTAACCCCATTCCCGATAACCCGGCATTTTCACAAACTCGGCCACCCTTCGGTCCACATTAGGCCGAGTTTTCGAGGCTCTACTGTAATACTAATGCAAAATAATAGTAAACACGTTACTATAAATTGTGGCTAAACAGTATTACTAGTAAATATGTGATTATATATTTTCAATAATTACTATATTAAATATCGTATTTAATAGGTACACATTCAAGGATTTCCATATTCATTAATATGTTAAATATAATTAGTTTAGCTTTATTCATTTATTCGAACAAATAAATAAATTTGAGTGATTTCTTTCATATTTTTAATCAGGGATTTCGAGAGAGGAAAGCTGGGGATTTTCCTCCGGTTCGGAGAAAACTTGAGGAGGCCATACTGGTTCCTATTTTTATGAAATTATTCTTATGTTTACTAACAAAACATAAAATATTTAAGTGTATTTTATTAATAAAAAAAGAATCACGTATTTCATTTGTTGAAAAAAAATTGCCAAAAGGAAACCCGCTCTACGTCCGGGCACAAGCGTTCGATGGCTCTGATTTTAATGCAAATTAACACAATTTTAGAAATTTAAAGATAATATAAATAAACAGAGTTTTTATTATTTTTCCCAGGAAGCATTTCATCGAAAATACCGAAAATAGTACTTGTATGCTTTACGATAGATAATTTATGACGTTTACAAAGCAAAGTTTACTTTTCTTAATGTTCTGTTACATACTTAACATATAACAAAGTTTGCAAAACATGGTGTAAACAGGTCCTTATATAGAATATTTATGCTTTATTTTCTCTAAATCGTAAAAATAAAACTCAAATAATAATCATATGTAACTTGTATATACAATATTTATTTTATTATTTAGTTTATTTAGTTACTGTATAAAGAAAATATGATTTACTGTTTTCATAAATTTTATGTATAGTTTCATTAATAAGTCATTTTGTTTATCAAATCATNATTTTATTATTTAGTTACTGTATAAAGAAAATATGATTTACTGTTTTCATAAATTTTATGTATAGTTTCATTAATAAGTCATTTTGTTTATCAAATCATATAAGAAAATATGTCATTAGAAATGCTATAACAAATTATTTAAAACGTAGAAAAAAAAATTGTTTCTTGTTATAGAAAATTATGTGATATAAAGAGAAAACATATTTTAAAAATAAAAATCTGTTAAATTTTCAGCACACTTTCTTAACATTAATTTGTCTTATGTATTTTCACAAATGCCCAGAGGGGAGGTCAAAAAGGACAAATTGCCTTGGGCCCAAGGATGTAGGGGCTTCTATACAATTTTTTTTTTCGTTTACTTCTTTTAATATAATAATTTAATTTTGTACAAGACCCAATATATATTTTGTCCAGGCATCCGTTACCGTCTGGGTGGCCTTATGCATTTGTATTTATGCGTATCGTTGTATTATTATATATTTAATTGAAATTACAGTATATACAAGACTGCCCTCCTTCGCAGTAGCGTAACCAGGGAGATAGCCCGTGCCCCTTACTCCCTACAAACGAGGAAAATCAAAGACGAACAAAAAAAGATTTGAATGTGACAAATACACTTATACGTATACATACAATATCTAAGAGTCTACTGCACTAATGGTTACAGGGAAGAATGTAGGTTAGCACGTTCTAATTCAGGTCACCATAATGTCGGTCCTAGTTACACTACTGTTATCTTCCTTTTAATTTCTGTTTCACATTGTTATCAATGATATGCAATTAAACAGATAAGCATAATGTCCGTATTCACAACCAAGGATTAAGCGTTAGAATTAGAAGTTAGACACGTGAAAACCCCCAAAATTCCACGTGTACAGCCCGTTGGTGAGGCACGAATCCAGAGTTCTATAATTTTGGTGTAATTTTATTTCTTAAATTATATTAATTTCGATGCTTAAAAAGAATAAGAAAATATTTAATTTTATGTAATTAATAATATTACATGGATTATTTACCATATAAATTGTATTTTTTGTAATAAATTAAGTTTTACTAACACTCATTTGTCTGAAAAATAACTGATTGGGAGATTTTTTAGTAAACATTTAATAATAAACTAAAGATAATATATCATTTTCTCAGAAGGTAATAACTTTAATATATTTTTAGAAATAAAAAACGCTTTTATTGGTCATCTTTTTCGAGATTGGGAGTTAGAATGAGACTACACCCACTGTATACATCATTACAGTACCTTTAAACACATACATTATGATTAAATTCTACATTTAGTTATGTATGTAGTTATTCGGGATGAGAGGGATGGTGCAAGTGGAGGGTCACTCCTAAAACATTATTAAAATGTATTGTTGTTATAAACTAGCAGAAAAATTTCCTAAATAATGAAAATGCCAAATCAATCTCACATATAATTAAATTCAGTCACTATATTTTTATAAGATTTGGAAAAATCCGATTGACAAAGTAAAATAAGAATGATAATATAAATAATAGTACATTACTAGAAAACACAACGTGCAAATTGATATTGATTCTATATTCTCTCTCGTTAAACTAGGATAATATATAATATTTGAATGACTATTCATTTGACCTCAATATTATTAGAGAATTTGAGAAATTAACAGCTGTATAACTTGCGCAACTGGCAGAAATTTATTATATCAATTCATATATATGTCTACAAATATTGAATGAATTTAAATATTCAATTAAGCTCTAATGTAAATTAGAGTACTTTGGCTAGAATTAACAAGTATCGCTGGTGGTCTTTAAGTGTCTCCATATCCGTTATAATTTTCTTCCTTAATAATTGTTGAATTCATTTAAATCCAAATGAATAACTTATTTTAAAATGTAGCAATAAAATCAAATGAATTTCACTTTATAAATAAAATAAAATGAACTTTATTTGGCTAATCGGAGTCGATTTTTTCAAGTATCAGTTCTATAAACAAACCGGATTGGATTTCCTCTACTACAAAAGGGCAAAGAAGCATAGGAGATAAGCGAAACATTTTTAGAATCAAATTATGCTTGTAATCGAAGTGATAACAGCGTACTTCCATCTAACCAATAATGCTCAAACTACCAAACGCATATGTACTGTATATATATATATATATATATTCTGTATAGTGGCCCAAAAGTCAGTTAACCAAGCTAGATGATTTTTCTTGTATCTCAGTTAATCGACTTCTGGGCCCCCCTCTCTCTCTCTATATATATAATACAATAATATACATATCACATTTTTAATTGTTGCATTTTTATTAGCAGAGCCTCTTTTGAGTGAGTCTGGGCGAGTAGACTAATACCTGCCGGAGGTTAAAAAATACTCCCTCGTATAATCTCATATAAATAGTTTTGTAAAAACATATAAATGATTATTGTTTCTTTGTATTGTTTGTACATATAAATTGACCCACCAATTTAATTTGTCACCCCGTATTTTCCAATAATGTTTCTTAAATCACATTGTATTTTCTCCACTTATCAAAGCTGACTTCATTGAGCTTGAAATATAACATCAGAAACAATTTAATATATAACTACTTTTATTTAGAATCCATTAAGCTAGCGAATTCCAAGCAAGCACTTCTGTTATAAGATAATGCGTCTTGTATACATTTAGTGCATATTTTCAAAATATTATGATATTATATATCAATAGATACATCAAGTTAAATAAAATTTTATTAACTTAAAAAATCTATACATAACTTTATTTTTCATTATATTTGATATAACAGCTATTTATTTGTTTGTAATTGAGTTATGAAATCAAAATTATTATACGCTTAAATTTTATTTTTAAAAATTATTTAATTGATATTTTTAGTATAATATATTTAATTAAAATATTTCTGATTTTCAATTATATTAAGTCATTTAATGAAGAAAACTATAGTAATAAACAGTATTTCTTTCAGGAAACATTCTCGCAGGGGGTATTTTCTGATCTGAGGGGGTGACAAATGCAATTGGCCTGTCAATTTATATACATATTAACATAGAAACAATAACCATTTATGTGTTTTTACAAAACTGTTTATATGAGACTATAGGAGGGGGCATTTTTCAATCTCCAGGAGGTATTGTATTATCCTCCGAGACCCCTCCTGAAAGAAATCCTGCCAATAAAAATACAACACCTTTATATATATATAGTAAGGGTTCTTTATTTAAGGAAAATCCTTAAACATAAATATCGTATTTATATTTAGAGAAACGTTCTTTGACTTCCATAAATATAAATAAAACATTTTATACATAATAGCAAATGATGTGTTATTGCTAGCATAAAAATTTGCAATTTTACACCAAGAATGATTCTTGAAAATTTAATAAATATAGAAGTAAATTTGTATTTTTAAAATTTGAAATTATTCAATATTACAAATAACTTACTTTCATTCTTCTAAGCTGATCTAAAAGACGTCGATAAACAAGACCTGTACTGCTTATGAACTGCAACCTGAACCTATAAGTAAAAAGGTATAATTTAAATATGTACTGTATGTACAAGTAAATTAATGTTGATTTAAAAAATAATAATAATAATACTATACCTCGCGATTGAGAAAGCAGTAGAGAAAAGCAATGAAAAATCCTTGTGACGAAGATAAGATATGTGTTGTATATGACCATACAGCAAATTGTAGAGGAGACCGTTCTAAGGGAGCTGGGATGATATCCAATAAATTTGGAATCCCCAAAAGAGGAAGAAGCAATAATGTAGCTCGGACGGCTTTTCTATTTAAAAAGTTTATAATTACAGTAGTTTAAAATATAAAGAAATTTACTTATTTAATTTTTAAAAAATGCTTTATTATGAACAGAGCTAGGACATCTAGCTCTGTTCATAAAAGTTATAAATGGTTATAGAAATCATAACATGATTTTTAGTGCCTATATGTCCTAGTTCTAGTTATGAAATAGATCTTAAGAGTTACAGATTTAAAAATCCAGTAACGAGATGCATAACTCTCCTGGCGAAAAATATTTGTTTAAGAAACAAACACAGACACATTAACACAAGTTTAAATTTGTGTGTAACGCCATCTATTGCAAGATATTATTAAAAATTAACTTTTGCATTATTATTATTAAAAGCTCAAAGGCTTAATTTTGAGAGTAGAGAGAAGTTTTAAAAACATTGTAAATGCCAACAACGTATAAAATTTCTCATTATAATTTCGACCCCATTCGAGATGTGATACGTAACTCCCTCGACCTTTAACCACCAAAATTTATTAGCTTAATACCCTTTATATACAAGTTACAATGGTAAATTTCGTTTCTAAATCATTATCCCATCCTGAGATATTCAACGAAATAGACGCCACACACGCAACAAACACACAACACATCCCTGGAATTTTTTGCCGTTTTTATGGACTTTTTTGGGTTCAGGGGATCGCAAAACGCCGAGATTTACAAAAAGTACGAAAAATCAAATTTGAAACGATTACAATACTTTCCCGAGTTATAGACATAACAGCCGGAAAAGTAAAACCAGAATATAATAATCCTTGTTTGATATGCTGTCAGATATAAAGTACTGTATAACATTTGCTTATGGATTTACTTGACAGATTAAAACCCATTTTTATTTTGTCGTTAATCATCGTTATTTACTTATTTACCTACACAATGCTAAATTGTTATATGTTACTATTGCTTTGCTTCTGTTTATTCAGTGACTGCAATTAGGTGCTTCTTGGAAATGACCGCAATTGCAAAATAAAGCACTTTAACCTGTGAGACAGCATTTGGCCACTCACGGTATGCATGACAAATATCCAACTGATGAATGTTGTTTTCTTATGTACAAAATAGGGAAACATTCTTTTAAAATCAATAATTCGTTGATTACAGAAAATACATCTCTGGTATTATTTTTCAATTCTAGGTTCTATAATTCATATTTACATTTTATATAATTTTTCGATAATATTCTTTTTGTTCAGTAAATAATTTTTGAATTAAAATTCGTATAAAAATAAAAAAATTCATTTATTTACGAATAAATTACTTTTGAAATGGATTTAAATTGCTTGTTTTATTTTTCAATTAATAAATGTTAGTACTGTGCTGTACATGATCTAGAAATGACATTTTCAAATGAGTGAAAAATAAATTAATTAATAAAGATAAATTATTTTTAATTGCAGCTCTATGATGATAAATAATGATGATAACAGATGTCATCCTAACGTCTGGCTAAGGCATCGGCCTACCACCCTCTGTGATTGAATCTTTTTTTTATACAACCAGGATAAATAGAAGCACCCTCAACTTGCGCCTTGTGAATGGTCGAAATTTGTCACGAAGGAACTGCCGTCGAAGGGTATTTTAGAGAAACGTTTTAAGAGATATTAAAGGGAGAACATGCCATCGAAAGGAAACTTTTTAATTTAAAATAATAATAATAATTTTATTTTTTCAAACGCATCAGTTTTTATGTTTATAAGAAATCTGATATCATTGAAATGTTTTCAATTTTATAATATGAATTTGATGTTATTAGATATTTTGTATTTAAGAATAGAAATAAGTTATGGTTTAGAAATGTAATTAAAAAATAGATATTGAAAGTTTAAAGAGAACAAATTAAAAGTAAAGGTTTCTTCTTCCAATAGTGAGACTAGTGATCGTTATCACGTCTTNATATCATTGAAATGTTTTCAATTTTAAAATATGAATTTGATTTTATTAGATATTTTGTATTTAAGAATAGAAATAAGTTATGGTTTAGAAATGTAACTTAAAAAATAGATATTGAAAGTTTAAAGAGAGCAAATTAAAAGTAAAGATTTCTTCTTCCAACAGTGAGACTAGTGATCGTTATCACGTCTTTCTTAATTATCCGCAATAAACAGAGACCAAGATTAAAATACAGTAATTCGCTTTATTCGCCTATGCATACCAATATTAAATGCATTGTTAAATAGGTAGCAGAAAACTTTGTAGAAGTAAAGGTAGTTACTATTTACGTATGCATAGGATATTAATTAAGGCTTTATTACTATTTACTCATAAGTATATATACCAATCAAATTGACACTTGGATGAGCTCTTTTTGGGAGAAAGTAGTAAGGTAAAAATGTAAATCCTGTATATAATATTCGTTATGTAAACAAATTTAAACAACCAATTTTCCGTTTAACGATTGGGCAGCGATCGATTGTAAACCTTGTTATTGCTGCTTGGAATAAACAGAAAAACGAATTTAAAAACAAATTTATAGAATATATAAAATTTTAATTAAAAATTACTATAAATTAATATAAATAGTAAATAGTTTATTCATGTAATTTCTAATTAATAGTTTTTTTACTATTGTTAATTTTATGTAACATAATATAATGTTCTTTGTTTTATGTTTTATTCTGTATAATTCAATTAATATGTAATTTTTTGTGTAATTCTTGGTTTCTTATTTATATTTAGGAGTATCTGAAAAATGGCAAGGTGCCTTTTGTAAGAAACTTTGTTTTCGAACAATAAACTGTTTATTTATTTATTTAATTATAATTGTTATATTTAACAAGAGATAGTGGCTTGGCGGCCTGCCTTCTGTTAACTTGCTTATTAATTATTTAGCCTTAATAGTCCTATAAAGGAATTTGGCTGTTCGTTTGATATTCGAACAGGAAACCTTTTATGTTGTATTGTATACCAAATTAGTATGTAAATAATATCTTTTATGTAGTTTAATTGACAAATTCATTTTTTAAAATTAAAAATAAAAGCTATTTTCAATTTTTGTTATTTTATATTTGTATTTAATACAGACAAAATTTCGTACATGCAACTTTATTTTTATAACTATGTACGGTACATAAAATTGACAATACAAAGCCGAATCAGTTGTATTATTAACGGAAAGCATCTTTTATTAAATACAACTTATAGAGAAAAAATATAAAATAAACAAGCTAGTTTTTTATCAATTATGTATCAATTATCATTTTTAATATTGATACATAAAATGTACATACTCTTCACATACATAAAAGATGACAGTAAAAATATTTTCTATGAAAGATTTTAATAAATACAGTATTATTAAAATTATGGCTAATATAATTTCTGAATCTGCCTTCTCAGATGTACAGTTATTATAAATACATATACGAGTATGTTACACCCAGTCAAGAATCTACTTCGCATATTCACTTGACACTATCAGCAATTACAATTATATGTAATTGCTGATAGTGTCTAGTAATTGTTTAATTATGTTGTATTTATTAAATTTAAAGTATGTAATATTCAGTGCCCATAAAAAATGACCTAATAGTGCCTATAAGGAAGAAAAAAAAACAAAAAGTAGGGGAAAATCATGGCAAAATAGGGAATTTTCATTCAATTTTTTTTTTTTGAATGGTTAACCTTTACACCGTTACGCGCGAATATTATTAATAAATGATAATTTTTAATATTGTTTCTTAATTGGATAACATAAAATATGAATACAGTATAAATTAATGTAGTAAACATTTGTATGCATGAAACAATGCCTAAAAATTAAATATACTTTTTCTTTCATTTAAAATATGATATCAAAGTTAAAACATTAAAATGAAAAGTTAATTTTTATAAGATAAATTCTTTCTCACGAAACAAAGTTTTGAATTTATCGCTTCCTTGTTACCAATTGGTAATAACAGTCAAAGAAACGATAGAAAGCTTCAGCATTCATACCTTAATCTAATCAGGCTTTTCTCAACCTTTTTCTTACTATCACCCTTTTCTCGCTATTTTTCAAAGCAATCGTCCTGTACTTTCCTATTTGCAAAATATTAAATTAAAAGAATGCTTTATTTGCCTTGTTTATTTAATGTGATCCTTGTGGTTGAATCTTTGCTGCTAGGTTTTTTAATATTTGAATTTAAATTTATAAGTTTTAATATTATATCTCTTCGAGTACATATATCAATTCTACTTCTTTCTTTTGTCACGATTTATTTACTGCACTAAATACACGTTCAACCAAATATGATATTGAAAAGGATGTTGAATGATGTTGGAAAGCATAACAGGAATTCAACCATTTTAGACCATAGGTTGGGATACTGCTGTTTGCTGTATTTGCTAGCCCTAATTCAGTTCATTTCTCAAATTTGTACTTGCATTAATCATTGCATTTTAGTTCAATAAGTTGTTTTTGGATATTTTTATTGACAGATTCAATACCACATTCTAAAAGATTCATTATTTATGGCTGAACTTTGAATGAAAATAACTCTGAAAATCGGCTATTTTGTTCTTTCATTTTCAATAAATATTCTGTGTATTTTTTATTAGTTTAGTCTGAAAGATGTCCAATTATTTCTGTTAACTCGGTCATGCTATTGAAATTCTTCTCTTGTATATTGATTTGAAACAAGTCTAATTTTTCAGTAAAAAGCTTTCAGAACATGTTTACAATCTAGAAACATGTATAATTTACCTTGAAGCTAAAGTAAAACTTTATTTAATTTTCGAAAAATCCATGCTAAAAGTGGATGTCACATTTGTGGTTTCTTATTTCCTCTGTCAATTTTTCCCCCTTCATTTTCCACGAAATTAATTACTGTATCAAACAGGCCTACAGATCTGGTCAAGCAGTTTCTTTTCGAAAGCTATTGGACTTCCGTGTGTAGAAAGTCATATGTTGCTGCTATTCGCTATCAATACAAAACTTTCTAAACAGTCGGTCATATTTGCTGTGAGATTTAATTTTATTAACTGTTTTAATAACTGTT